TGGACTGGAGGGGGGATAGCCTATGTAAAGGTAAGCCAATGAGGAGGGAGTTGCAGTAGTCGAGGCGACAGATAACCAGTGAGTGAATTAGGAGCTTTGTGGTATCATTGGTTAAAAAGGGGTATATTCTGGAGATGGTGTGGAGGTTGAGGTGACATGATTTGGACAAGGATTGGATGTGGGCCTGAATGGATAGTTCAGAAGCCAGGGTTACCCCTGGCATGCAGGGATGGGCTGATAGTGGTGCTATTGATCCTGACCAAGAAATCAGGGGAAGAGGCAAGTGGGGGGAGGAAATATTATGAGCTCAGTTTTGGATAGATTGAGTTTTAGGAAGTGGTGTGACACCCAGTCTGATATGTCTGTTAGTAAATCGCTGTTACGTGAGGAAACTGATGGGGTGAGTTGAGTAGAGAGAACTGTATGTCATCAGCATAGAAATGGTATTGGAAACCATGAGAAGCTATCAGCTGACCCAAGGAAGAAATGTAGATTGAGAATGGGAGAGGTCCAAGGACAGAACCTTGGAGGACCCCGACAGTAAGATGAGGAGGAAGTAGAGTTGTAAGTGACACTGAAGGTGTGGTGAGATAGGTAAGATTCGAACCAATTGAGTGTACAGTCACGGAGACCGAGTAAATAGATTTTTTTGATGAGGAGGGGGTGGTCAACTGTGTCAAAGGCAGCGGAAAGTACGGAATAGTGACCATTAGTTTTAGCGGTTAGCAAGTCGTTTGTGAGTTTTAGGAGAGCAGTTTCTGTGGAGTGTTGTGGGCAAAATCCAGACTAAAGGGGATCGAGAAGGTTATTCTCAATAAGGTGGCAGCTCAGCTGGTTGTTGACTAGATGTTCAAGGAGTTTGAGGCAAAAAGGGAGTAAAGAGATGGGTCTTCGTTTGCCAAGATTGGTGGGGTCCAGTGAGGCCTTTTTAAGTATATTTTTTTTAAAGCAGAGGCCCTAGAGAATATAATTTGGGTGTTGCACTTTTTAATGTCACATGGTATTTGCGCAGCAATTTTTATTTATTTATTTTTTTTTAAAGAATACACATTTTTAAAATTTTAATGCACAAAAACACAATATAATACCTAATTCTTTGGTAAAATATAAAAAAGATGATGTTACACTGATTAAAGAGATACATAATATGTCACGCTTTAAAATTGCACGCGCCCATCCGAGAAACATACTTTTTTTTTATCCATATGCGACGCTTTAAAAATCTTTACAGGTTACTCCTTTAATGTTACGCAGGAGGTCTGCCGATATAATTACTTCCCTCTATCTGATATTCGCAGTGATACCTCACATGCATGGGGCAATTGCTGTTTACACATGAGCAGATGCAGGCATCATCTCTGTATAACCACTTGGAGATCGGCAACGTAGTGGTACATCGCTGGTCATCAAGTGGTTAAGAAACATTCTATGATTGGCTCAGTGTGGAGTCATATCGTTTCTCCTGGATTTTTAGGTTTCAGATTGCAGGCAGAGGTAACCTTTCTGAACCCTAAAAAGGCATCCAAACCCCAAAACAAAAATGTACTATTGTGCAGCTTAATAGAAAGGCCAAAGTTTTTGTGTTTTTTTTTTTTTTTTTTTTTTTTTTTTTCTTCAGTCATATTTGTGGGTTACAAGTGTGCACTTAATTTTGCTCTCTCGTGACCCAGAATCAGCCGATGTCACAGAGCAGCTCCAGGCTCCTGAAGGATCCTAACCATATGTCAGGATTCACCCAGCTGCCTGATTGATAGCTGGCTCTACCTCTCAGTGTGTGGCCGAGAGCCAACACCAGCTGCACCTCCTTCCTCCCCAGCCTGGTGCTCCAGTGAGCGCTGAAGGGGCAGAGCAAAGAAAAATGACTGACAGTCACCACTCTCCACTCCGAGCTGACTGAGAACTGAGTGATCAGCCATCATTTGATCACTCAGTTCTTGGTCTTTAAGCTGACGTGACAGCTGCAGCATCACAAGAATGCTAAAGCATAGTGGTGAGTATTTATGTTTGTTTTTTTTTTTGTTGTTTTTTGCAAACCCAGACTTCAACTGTTCTTAGATGTGGTGGTTGCATTAGTTTTCTTTTCTAGGCATTTCTTTATTTTCTTTTATTTCTTGGTGATCCTGTCAGTTCTCCCCCCCCCCCCCCCTTCCTTTAACAGACCAATCTTTTCACTAAAAGTGGCAATAAGGCTTAGTTTACACTTATAGTTGGGGAACTGTAAAATATGTGGTTGAGCTGCATATTTACCCCTTTCCTTATTCTGCAAAGGCATCTAGGAGGGAGAGTGCATTCCTCTGTCACATTTTGTGGGCATTAACACCACCGAATGTGACATATTGAAGCGAATAGTGCTATGCCACAACTGCAAGGTTGCATCGTGGTATCCCCATTCACATGGCCTGTTGGGCTGTCAAAAAAAAAAAAAAAAGCAGGCATTCAGGAGTCAGCAGTATCCTTTCTTAAATGAATGGCGGTCACGCGTGAAGCAATCCACCACAGCTCACACTTCACAGAGTGGCACAAGTGTGAACAAGCCTTTAGAGCAGGGGTGCTCAACCTGTGGCCCTCAACCTCAAACCAGGGAAGCTCACTCATAGTTTTGGTGCACTTACAGAAAGTGCACCACGCCCGCAAGATATAATAGTCTATGAGAGAGCGCGGCTAACCACAAGAAAGGCGCAGGTGCACTCCATTGCACTCACGTTGCGGGTAAACTGCAGAGCATCAGTGGGGAAGCAGCCTTGTAGGTGCTCAGGACAGTAAGGGCTTATGTACATTTTTCAGTTTTTTTTTTTTTTTTTGGGGGGGGGGGGTAAAATCCCATAGTTGTGTTTTTACCCCCCCCCCCAACCAGTGGTGTAGTGTCAGGGGTCACAGTGGTGGATCCTGCCTCATGCCCCAGGGAGCCTGTGCGGCTTCCCTGTCACATTCTGTCTTACACTTAGACAGGAGGGACAACATATCCACGCTTGCATTCCGTGGCTGCAGAAAAAAATGCTCATTATGCGATTCAAAAAAAATTGAAAATGCATTGCGTTGTGACCCCCAACCAGTTATTAAATCACTTAAGTGGCCCTCGCTTTTTAAAAGGTTAAAAACCCCTGCTTTAGAGGGTTGAGACAAGCCATTTAACACTGACAGGGGTGCTTTCAATGATCCGCTTTTATTCATTTATGTAAAATCTTGATCCCAAAAGGAAATAAAAACTATGGATTTAACTGCTTATAAAATGTTAGCTGGTTCTTGGTCTCTGTATCCACCTTTTTATGTTTGTTGTAAATTTATCTTCTATAATAAAAATATTGTACAAGAAAATTTTTTAACAGGACTTCAGCTTTAAGGTGGAACTAAACTCATCCATTTAACAGTTTCCCCAAACAGTTACATTCAAGGCATGACATGAATGATAACTGTCACAGTTGCTTGGCTCTCAACTGAACTGTCAAACCATCAAATGGCTGGTGCCATAACTGATCACATGTGCAGCACCATGGCAGTTGTGATCAAGCAGAAGCTAAGATGGCAGCTTCCTGGAGTGTAAAGGAGAGGAGGGTTTTACTAATCTGCTAGTGTGAGTTGACAATGCTGTTGTCCAAGGGTGTCTTCATTGCTCCTCCATCCAGAGTGGAGACACCCTAAGAAAGGACATGTTATTAGCAGAAACACCAGGTGAAATTGAAAATAAAGGAAAGAAAAAAGAAAACAAATGCAGCTACCACATTTAAAGTGGAACTAAACCTACCTTGTCAAAAACCGCTTGCAGAAGAGACATGCTAGGTCTATTGAATGTACACTGAGCTGCTCCTGCTTTATAATAACCAGCTTACATGCAACTGATCATTACATGTAATCAGTATTGTGAGACATAACCGTGAAAAGAAAAATTTCACTACACTGTTTTTTGTTTTGTTAACTTTTTTGGAATTGTCACATAGTGACATGCATGTCTACACACAGCAACGTGATGGATTGCACTGCACTACAGTGACAGGCCGTGCCATCCACTGCACTGGGGAATAGTGCCGCATATCTGCATTTTTTTTTTTTTTTTTCGCACTGGACCACACCACACATCACACCAGCGTTGTGGTGTGATTCATTGTTTTCTGTGTGCCCTTACAGTAACTGGCATTTATTTAGGTCAGAAATACACCAGTCACCGCTCTAAGGCCTCGTCTACACAAGTGCTGAGACATATACAGTGTTAATGAGGCATTTGTTTTTGCAGGTGAAGTCACCTGTGTGCAGGCAGCTATGTATGTGAATGCGAATGCAGCAGCTGTACAGACACTGCTGCATTTGCTATTTGGATGTGCGGCTGTACTTGCTTCCATAGCTGCCTACACACAGCTTCAGATGGCAAACACAGCATTCATGCTGTACAGGTTTCAGTGCCCGTGTAAATGAGACCATAGTATGAACGAACCATCAGGATTGTGCCTATTTCTTAAAGTGGATCTGAACTCAGAAAGTGAAGATTTGCTGTTGTATGTTATGGGGGGCATGTAGACAAGTTTATTGGGCCTAACCATTACTCTGACATATCTTTCCATCTGGTAATTCCTCCTTAAAAAAAATCTGTTCAGTTCCTGGTGTGTGAGTGGGCCAAGGCACTCCTGGACATACATCATCATTGCTGTATACCTGCAGTGTGAGATCTAAGGCACTCCTACTTCTTACTGCTGGTCTCAGTAGATTTGGAGTGAGATCTAGTGATGTCACTACTGTCCTGTCAGTATTTACTTACTGGAGGCTCTGACATGAGGAAGTAAAGCCCTGCCTCTACCAAGATGGCTACCTCTATACACAGACACAATGCAGATTAAGTCATAGTAAGTCAGTAATAGGGGAAAGACCTACTGTAGGTAGTTCACTGGCCTTACACCAGTTTATGTACTGTAGCTGAATGTGTAATTAACAGATATGTTGGTATTTATCACTTTTGTTCTTATATTAGGCAGACTTAATCATAGTGTTGACCTGGATGTGTCATCTCCAGCATGCTCATCTGTGATATATGCACGCAAGAATTGCCATCTGAAGATGCTATGAAGAGCCATTTGCTCTTGGCACACATAGAACAAGGTTGCTGCTGTCCTTTTTGTACCATTACTGGACTGACATACGATGAACTCCGCTATCATATTAATACAGCTCATAGAGACACACTGGAACCGTGGAGTAGTGATGAAGAAGAATCCGGGAAAATCCAAGTAGCGACCTCTACCTCCAGCACCTTGGAGAGTCCGCAAACTAATATAAATGACCATATAGAACAAACTAATTGCAAATTGAATTTGCCATTTAACACAGAACAGAACAATAGCACACAACAGAACGCTGTGATAGAATGTATAGAGTTAGAAGAGAGCATACGTGAAACAATGGGGGGTCTACCAATGGCTTGTAGTGCTGAATCTGTCTGCTTACCTCTGTCTTCAGGGGGTTCTGAAGTGTGTAGTACTAAGTTTAATAGTGAAGTTAATGAGGAAGGTTGGTCCCAAGCCAGTGCCTCTGCACACCACATTGACTATAATGAGGATGCTGTGATGGAATGTCCATTTTGCTGTGAAATGAAAATGTCAGTTGAAGAGCTTGAACTCCATGTGAAGATTGAACATGCAGAACTGTTGGACACGCCTACCAAAGGTAATTCCTTAGTATGTTCACTTTTAGAGATTCGTTTATGATATCAGACACATTTTGGTTTATGTCCAGACCACTGTTGGACAAATCTGTAATCAATTAGTTCAAATTTGGATCCATATGTGATCCTAGGAGCACTGATTGTCTGTTTTCTGGCATTTCTAAACAGAATTACAATCTTATATTAGATTATTACCAAACATAGTAACCAGCACTGTGGTTGAGCTTGAAATAAGAATATTCCTGGTTAATATTCTCATTTAAAAAAATCACAATACATAATGTCCTATGGACGATTTAATTTAAAGTGGTTGTAAAGCTCAGACATGAAATATGAACAAACCATATCCCTCTATAGTGTTTACTTGTCACAATCCAGAGCTCTAAGTTCCATTTCTCTCTTGTGCCTCATTCTTTTGCTATCAGCATTAGTGACTTCTGAAAAGTTTTCTTGACACCAAGAAAAACTGGTGCCAGGGGAGGGCACAGCCTTTGATTGACAGCCTCAGCTGTGTTCCTGTGTGCTGTGTGGAGGGGGGTTTGTCCCTTCCCTCCAATCAGCTTTCAGAGCTCTCCCCACTGATGTAACTTCAGATTCCCAATCTGTGTAAATTCTGAACTTTGAACAGGTGTAGGGGTTGTAAATTATCAGGTACTACTTGTGTAGGATTTGTTTCATCTCTATGAATCACCTGAGGCTAGTCACATCACTGGGTATTTGTGAGGGTTTACAACCACTTTAAGCTGAACTCCAGCCTTGCTAACTTTAAATACCATTTTCATATGAATAAAAAAACAAAACAAAAAATATACTAGTCCATGGAGAAAAGAAAGAAAAGATGATGTTGGTAAAGTCCTTCTATATCCAACACTTTCAGTAGTGTCAGATGTCACTGTGACAGCGGTACACTCTGTGGCACCCTCTGCGGTTACTATTTTACTGGAGGACATGGGTTGGTAGAAAAAAAACACAGAGTGCGACAGGAGAACAGGCATTTGGAAGTGTGTCAGATGCTAAAGATTGTTCAGCAACATTATTTAAAGTAGTTGTAAACCCTCTCCTATATCCAGTGAAGTGAATATCCTCAGGTGATACACAGAGATGAAACAAATCCTCCTACCTAAGGTTTACTTCATTATCTGCAGTCTTCTTTCTTTTACATCCCTTCAAATGGGCTGATATTGGGTAAAATCCTTCTGCATTTGTCAGTATCAGAGGAGGGGGCAGGAGCTGCAGTTAGAGCTCGGTGAGAGGTGATTAGAGGAAAGACGGAGCTATGTTCTGTATTGACAAACTGCTGAGCACATCACCTAGGCACAACTAGGTTTACTGTATAATATTGTCAACAAATATTAAAATGTATATTTTTGGCACTGTATTATTGCCCGAAAACTGGCATTTATTGGAATTGATGAGCTATATATATGTGCTGATCATGCTTGTTAAAAGAGTCCTTTTTGCTTTGTCAGGAACTTCCAGGCAGCTGCTTGAATGCCCCATGTGCTCTCTTGTTTGTGCTAATTTCCAAATCTACAAGAACACGTAAATCTGCATTTGGAAGAAACCCTCTATGACAAAGGTTTGTGATGTTTACTATGTTGACTTTTTTTATACATGGAGATTTTTGTATGGGAGAGACAGCAAAGAGCTGTTTGGTGTCTTACCTACATAAAAAGGCAGGACATACAGGATGTGAAAACCAAATGGAAATTCATACCGATAGTAAAATTGTTCCTTTTTTGCATCATTAGTGTGATCCTACATCTTGAGTTTTTTTTTATTTTTGGGGGGGACTGGCAAATTCCTCCATCCCCTATCTCCTCCTTCTAACTAACTGCCAATCTTCCTTTCCTCTAGCTCCATAATCTCCTTTCTCCCAGCCAGGAATCTCTATAATTTGTAAGTCAAGTCTGTCACAGAAGTCTCTTAAATCCTCCGGGAATCTCAAATAAGCTGTAACTCCAGTCTTCCATCCTATTAGACACTCCGGAATACCCCATCTCTAGTGCACATTTTGTTTTTTCATTTGCTCTAACAGGGGTTTCAAAGATCTTCTCCATAATGTTTCTGATGTTAAATCTGCAAAAATCTGTATATCCATTTCTCCATATTTAATAATTGATCTTCCCTTAATCGTTCTCCATATCTCTTCTTTATCTCCCAGATTCTGGAATTGGACAATTATTCTCTCGGTTTCTCTTTTCCACTTCCTTGTTAAATCTTTCCAATTCTAAAAACCCCTTCCAGGTTAGCCAATTCTGTTTCTGGTCTATCCATTATGGCATTTAAAATTTTACAGACAAGGCCTCGTATTTCCTCTCCCTTTTACAAGCTCTGGAACTCCTGTTACCCTAAGATTTTTCCTCCTCTCCCTGTTCTCTTGTACCTCCATCTTGTAAAGCAATTTTGTTTGCTCTTTCCTAATACCTATTATCCTTTTTTCTAAACCGGAGATAAATTGGTCATGATTTTTAATTCTTTCCTCCGTCTCCTCCATCCTCAATACCATATGCCCCAAGTCACTCCGTATAGCTGTCATATCTTGTTTTATTGTTTTTTCTAAATTTTTAAACATATCTGCCATCTTTCTTATTTGGTATTTGTAGTTCGCTTTCCAGTTCTCTCCTTTCCAAATTTTCTGTTCCTTGTTGACTATTATATTTCGTTCCCAGGGAAAGTCTAGGGCTAGCATCCAAGCTCATTTCCAGTTCACTTTTTTCACCAATACCTTGAGATCTTTCTGGAGTCACATTTCCTTGGGACGTATACTTTTTTATCGTACCAGTTTGAGACCCCTTTAGCCCACTTCTTTTTACATTTTTATTCTTCATCTCGTTCTGTGGGTCTTATTTTCTTAAATACAGGAACCACATTGAATTAAAGAGTGCAAGCCAGGGACCCAGATTTATTAACCACTTTTTCACAATATTCTCCTTCTTCTTCTGGGGCTGCTAATTCCTCCTTGTCCCCTTCAATCCTCCCCAGGGAATCCCCCCTCACATATCTTCTTTTCCCCTTAAACCAACATTCATTGTTTTAAGCAATATTGGCAAACTAAAGCTGCTCACACTCACCCTCTGCTTGCTTTTTCTTCTCTTGAGACAGCTCCAGACAACCAGCATCAAGCCAAAGACTTCAGTTGCTCTCTTCAGGGGGATTCCTCTGGGTCTTTTCTTCTTTCAGTCCCACTCCTCTTTATGTATACATCATTCCCAGGGGAGCAGGCTGTCCATTAGGGATATTGCTCATGTGCTGGGGGGGGTAGTGAGCCGCGTCTTCCCTCTCACCTCGGACGCCGGCCGGCTTTTCCCCTACCCAGTACTCCTCCGCGGCTGACCACGTGGTCACGCCGCGTCTCCTTTCCAGCAGCCCCTCGAGAGCCTCCAACAAGCTCCGATGTCACCGTCCGCCCTCTCCACTACTCTCAGGACCGCCGACTCCACTCCGGGCCCTGCCGCTCTCAGGTAGGTCCCCGGTTTACACCCCTTCAGGCATCTGGGGCAATGTGGAGGTCTCGGAGAGCACCCGCTCCGTGCTCTCCTACGACGCCATAGTTAGGCTCCGTCCCCATCTGTAGTTTCATTTTTACTTGAGTGAGATTTTTTTTTTTTTTTTTTTTTTTAATACTAGTAATGGCGGCAATCAGTGACTTATTGTGGGACTGCGTCGGGCATTCTAAAACTGGGGGGGAACTGGCTTGGTGTCATTGACATCCCCAGTGACACCAATACTGTAATCAGTACTCATAAAAAGCACTGACTGTCACGATCACACGATTGCCACCCTCAACATGCGACAATATCACGACCGCGGCCACCAATACGTCACGATCGCAGCGTCAGACCCCAGACCTTCTCACCAAACTCGTGACCGAAGGACTGGCCGATCCAGACCGAGATGTGACGTGCATAACAATGCCACGCTCAGCTGCGCTCTGCACAACGATTGTCCAGCTAATGGAACGCAATCGACGCACCGGCAGCCTGAATGCGCTTGTTACTGGGTCTGGTTAATTACCCAACTAACCCTTCACTGCCACCACCCCTTTTTGTACTGAGAAAGGGGAAACTCTCTTTATCCAATATACACTGTAATGGTTGAAAAGTCACCTGTCCAATACGGTCACCGCAGGCCGATTGGGCAGAGGATTAAACAAACACAGTAGCGTCTCTTCAAAAGACAGGAATTCGTAAATTGCAATTAGGCGCTTTAGAAACAGTTTGACTCTTTTAGTAATAAATCTTTCTTTCTGAAAGTGTTAAACAGGTGCAATAAAATATTTACAGAAAAAGATATATATATATATATATATATATGCATAGAAAAACAGCACAGCAAAGAGATAACGGAGAAGTTAAAGGGTTAAGTTACTTGTCATTTAAGCCTTTGATGTAAGCAGATCCAAGTTGCAGAGCGAAAGGGTCTTTGATCTCCCTATGTTAGGATGGAAAGATAGGAGATGTCTTCAACTTCCCCTTCTAGGCCTGCTAGTCTGTGTTTTAAAGTCCCCCAGCAAGGGGGTGGCTCTGAGTAACTGGCCAATCTCTGTTTAGCGAGGAATTGGCAGGCTGAGCCCAAAATCAGAACAAGCATCTTTCATAAGTCTAAGGATCATTTAGAGATGAATTATGAAATTGTATGTTACACGGTGTACGAGTTCTATGTTTTGGCTTCCCTGAGCGTGCGAAACTAGTGGAGTGACCTACTAAACGATTCGCCGGCTCACCGACCATCCGATGATAGGTCTGGTTTTTATGTATATCGCTCATATTCCAAGATACATAGGGGAAAACTGGATCTTTTAAAAATGTTATCTGGTTTGTGCTTCTGGGGAATGCCTTGAACTCTTGAGAAGGCTCTGTTATCTTTCCCCGAGGTGTGAAGTTACACAGGTTCTTTGGACAGAGAGTCTCTGAGAGGCTCTGTCTCTGTGGGGGGGCTTTGTAGCTCTGGGCCCCCTGCTGCTCTACCTGCCAGTGACTTTTAACACATACACATCTGTCACTGTGCCTCTCACCGAGGGAGGGGGAAGGAGGATAAAGGATTACTTTTAATAAAAAGGGGGACTCTGCGTCCATCTCTGATGAGCAAGTTTGCTACACTGACAATGTACTAATGGCACTGGGCAGGAAGGGGTTAACATCTGGAGCGATTAAAGGGTTAACTGTGTGCTGTTTAAGTATGTGGGCTGTGTTTGTGTGCTTCACTGTAAGCACACTGCTTTGTATGGCTCTGCTATGCAGAGCCATACAAAGCAATATGCAGGAGCTGATGGTAGAGATCTGTGTTGTTTACATACAGGTCTCTCCCCTGTCGGAGATACTCGGTGATGACTGCCTGAAGTCTGAAACCCATGGACATTACCAAAGACTGAGTTTCCTCCTTTCTGATGCTTTGCCAGGCTCTAACTGCAGCTGTCTTCAGCTGTTCTTTGTTTGTGGGTCTTTCTGCCTTTTCGTTTTTTCCTTCAGCAGGTGAATGCATGCTCAATTGGGTTGTGATCAGGTGAATGACTTGGTCATTGCAGAATATGACGCTGTGTGCTTTGGATCATGAGCTGTTCCAAGCCTTCTCCACTCTTTTTTTTTTTTTTTTTTTTTTTTTTTTTTTTTTTCTTCCCGTCATTCTGGTACAAATTAATCTTAGTCTTATCCATCCAAAGAATGCTTTTCCAGAACTGGTCTGGCTTTTTTAGATGTTTTTTGGCAAAGTCTAATCTGGCTTTTCTATTCTTCAGGCTTATGAATGGTTTGCACCTTGTGGTGAACCCTCTGGATTTGCTCTCGTGAAGTCTTCTCTTGATTGTAGACTTTGACAATGATACGCCCACCTCCTGGAGAGTGTCTTTCACTTGTCTGGATGTTGTGAATGGGTTTTTCTGATGGGAGAGATCTGTGTATCATGTATGTTGTCATTACATATGACATATGATATTGTTGTTATTGTTACATTGTGTTATCAAGGAAGGAAACTATATTATTGATGTTTTATATGTTTTGCCCTGTTATAATATAAATACGGAGCCTAGTAGTTGCCAGTAACTGACATCACTTCCTGTGAGATGGAGGTGAATCAATTAAGCTTAATTATCAGTCTGGTGATCGAATTAGTGTCTCTTGATATAAGCGTTAAGCCGCACCGCACCGCACCGTCACCCCTATGAGTAAGTCAGGATATGACAATGCGTCAGGGCGTGACGGTGCGGCAGACCGGAAGTAACGTAAATCCGTAACCAGAAGTGACGGCGTTCTGTCTGACAGTTCCGGAGGTGGTGAGAGCACCATGCAGCATCTGCTTGTCACTAAGACCTATCATTTGGGCTTGGTGATGTTTTTAATTTTGTAAGTGCATTACTAGGAGCAAATAAAGCCATTTATCTTGGGTAATATACTATTGGAGCGGATATTTTTCTTCTCTTTTCATGATATGGTGGAGTTTTTGAATTATCCTGGCAACCAATCATTGCATGTGTGATAATTGTGCGCACAGATATGGACAATGACAACCATAATTTGGATCATACTCTGCAAATGTCATTCTCACTCCAAATCATTCTTTCCCCCCCCCCCCCTTTTTTTTTTTTTTTTGAATGGCATGTGGTGTGTGTGTGTATGCTGGGGTCACAGGGGCATCGGGCACAGCTGGATACACTTCACGGTTGTAAACCCAATTAGCTGGTTCCATGATGTCTGTCAGACCCTTGACTTGGCCTGGTCGTAAAGCTATAAATCTGTCACTGGAAATGAAAGCATTCCAGAGTGGCAGTAAAACATACATCCCACTTGAAACCACTTTTTCATACAATTTCATAAATCCCGGCAGGAACAAGGTACAATAAAACAAAGCATATATTCAGATACGTCAGTTTAATGCGAGTCACCTGATACCTTACACCCCTAGATAACGTCAACCAGAGAGTAGAAAGTTATATCTTGTTATCCGTCATAGCCGGATATGTCATATCTGGTGTCTGGACGTTCACAATATCATTCTGCATATTAACCTGCCAGTGGCTAGGCTGCTGCATGCACCTATGGAAGGTTATTAACCATGGTATAAACTTGGGAGGGATTTGGGTCACAGTCTGAGTCCCCACCTAAACACCCCTCCCCAAATGAGGCGATCGGTTCTCTGCTTTAAGGAGACACCCTGCTGGGTTCCCAGGCTGTCATGCCTGGAGAGAAAGATGAAGAGATTCTCCCTTTTAACATCAGGAACCCTTTTGTTCACGATGCTTAAACCAGGACTTCTGCAAGTATTCTACCTTCTTAAACTTCTTTCTGTTATCTCTCTCTCTCTCTCTCTCTTTATATATATATATATATATATATATATATATATATATATATATATATATATATATATATATATATATATATATATATATATATATATATATATATATATCTTTTCTGTAAATATTTTTATTGCACCATTTTGACCTTTTTAGTAATCAATCCTATTTTCAGAAAAGTGTTGAACTGTTTCTAAAGCCCTTTAATGCAAACTAACTAAACTGTCTCTGAAGAGCGCTACTGTGTGTTTTAAAACCTCTGGATACATCTGTCTGCGGTGACAGTGTGTATACAGACGCTTATTCAAACATCATAGTGTTACTGCTAAGATTTGTGTGTTTCCTCCTTCTCTGTAAAAAGGTGGTGGTGGCAGTGTGAAGGGTTAATTGCGTAATTAACCTGACCCAGTAACAATCGCTTTCAGGCTGTTGGCACATAGATTGTGGCCCAGTGAGCTGGAAAAATCTTTGTGCAGGGTGCAGCTGAGAGTGGCATTGTTACGCAAGTGGCAGCGCGGTTTTAGATTGGCTAGTCCTTTGGTCACAAGTTGATGAGAAGGACTGGGGTCTGACGCCACGCCCGTCAGAGTGGGCTATTCTTGGAGGAACCTCCTGATCTAATTAATGGATATCCTCTTGATTATGCTTTAACAAAGGCAATATCTGAAATAATGGTGAAGACAAAGAATAATGCATAATATATGAGTGATAATTGATGTTTGATGATAGCATTATGAAGTGTATGCGCCGCTTGTATTCTCTAAAATAGGGGTGATACTTATCATTTTTTGATTTTTGAAATAGGGTATAGTGGCAGCAATATATATATTTTTTTTTTAGAGGCTAAAAATCTTTTTTGCATCAGGCGCGATATAGTGACATTTGGATAAATATTTCAAGGTGGTCATTTATAGAACATATCCATTATATAACTATAGCTTGAATATGTTTTGGTAAATACCAGAAAAAAAAAATTGTGACTGTGTCCAAATATATATGCACCTAACTGTGCATGAAATTGCGCACCTGTGCCACCCTGTAGTAGTATTTCTGCTATAGGGTGGCGTGGAACTGATTAAACCTATAAAGACTGTGCTCTCATTCAAGTAAGAAACTTTACACCTCAGCATATATTGACATGCAAGTATAATTTCTTTATATGGCGAGCTATTCCTAAGGATGAGTGGCCACACATTGCTATCTTGTTAATGATAAAATTTTGCTTACATGCATAAATGACGACTCTGCCGTGCTACTTCTGAAAAGAACAGTGTTTAAAAGCAGAGTAACATTGATTGTAATATGTTGAGGATAAAAGGGAAGTCCTGGAGATTATTTCTGGTGATATTTACAAGTTTTTATTCTATTCTTGCATCATTTGAGATGATCAGGCTATGTAGGGCTTCTTCACACATGAGTATTCTTCTGCTTGTTTTTCCTATGCCTGACTACACCTTATTATGCCTAACTACGCAGAATCACGTTCTTTCTAATTGTGCATTGTCACGCTTGTATGCTTATTCGCTCTCCGTCCTACGCTCGAAGTACATGATCTCTTTTTGAGCATAGTCGGGCTTTTTTGATCCCACAGACTTTAGTGGGAATGCCTATAAATGCGCATTTTAACGTATGGTTTTATGCCTGAAAAATTCTTATAGAATTGCTGTCCTCCCCTTGCCCAGCCCAGGAAACAAAGTCCTGAGCTTAATACACAAAGGTCTGTAATACACCTGAAAAAAGTGCTTTTAAAATCACCAGGAATACACTTTTCAAATGTGAATGCAGGGTAATAAATAATAATTGGACATTAACCACCTTCCCTCCAGAAACTTTTACCCCCTTCCTGACCAGGCAATTTTTTTGCTATACAGCACTGCTCTACTTTAACTGACAAATATGCAGTCATGCAACTTTGTACTCAAATGAGTGTTATTTTTTTTTTTTTTTAAACTCAAATAAAGCTTTCTTTTAGTGGTATTTGGTCACCACTGGGATTTTATTTTTTTATTACATAAAAGAAAAAAAGACTGAAAATGTATAATAAAAAAAAAAGAAAACACACAATATTTTTTACTTTCTGAAATCTAACACATCTAATGATATTGAAAATGAAATTTAGGCCAAAATGTATTCTGCTAGTTGCAAGAAAAGTATGTGAACCCCTTGGGATTACGTGGAGTTTTGCATGAATTGGGCATAAAATGTGCTCTGAACCTCATCTAAGTCACAACAATAGAAGAACACAGTCTGCTGAACATAATACTACACAAACATTAGATGTTGCCATGGTTTAATTGCACATAACATGTAAACATTCACAGTGCAGGGAGGAAAAAGTATGTGAACCTTTGGACTTAATAACTGGTTGACCCTCCTTTTGGCAGCAATAACCTCAACCAAACGTTTCCTGTAGTTGCAGATCAGACCTGCACAACAATCTGGAGTTATTTTGGACCACTCCTCTTCACAAAACTGTTTCAGTGTAGCAATATTCTTGGGATATCTGGTGTAAATCGCTCTCTTAATGTCATGCCACAGCATTTCAATCAAGTTGAGGTTAGGACTCTGACTGGGCCACTCCAGAAGGCGTATTCTGTGCTGTTGCAGCCATTGTTTTGTTGAATTACTTGTATGCTTTGGGTCATTGTCCTGTTGCATCACCCATCCTCTGCGGAGCTTCAGTTGGCGGACAGATGGTCGTATGTTTTCCTGCAAAATGTCTTGATAAACTCTGTAATTCATTTTCCCATCAATGACAACAATCCGTCCAGGCCCTGAGGCAGCAAAGCAGCCCCAAACCATGATGCTCCCTCCGCCATGTTTTACAGTGGGGATGAGGTTTTGATGTTGGTGTGCTGTGCCTTTTTTTTTTTCTCCACACATAGTGTTGTGTGTTCTTCCCAGACAACTCAATCTTTGTTTCATCTGTCCACAGTATATTTTGCCAGTAGTGCTGTGGAACATCCAGGTGCTCTTTTGCAAACTTCAAACGTGCTGCAATATTCTTTTTGGACAGCAATGGCTTCCTCCGTGGTGTCCTCCCATGTACTTCATTCTTGTTTAATGTTTTCCTTATTGTAGATGTGTCAACAAAAATGTTAGCATGTACCAGAGATTTCTGTAGGTCTTTAGCTGACACTCTGGGATTCTTCTTTACCTCATGAAGCATTCTGCGCTGTGCTCTTGCAGTCATTTTTACAGGACGACCACGCCTAGGGAGAGTAGCAACAGTGCTAAACTTTCTCCATTTGTAGACAGTCTGTCTTACCGTGGACACATGAACATCAAGGCTTTTGGAGATACTTTTGTAACCTTTTCCAGCTTCATGCAAGTCAACAATTCTTGATTGTAGGTCTTCTGAGAACTCTTTTCTGCGAGGCATGGTTCACATCAGACAGGGCTTCTTGAAACCAGTAAACCCAAAACAGGTGTGTGTTTTTTTAAGGGCAGGACAGCTGTCAGCAACACATCCAATATCATCACACTGATTGGAGTCAAGGTTGGCTCACTCCTGGCTCCAATTAGCTCTGGGAGAAGTCATTAAGCTAGGGCCTCACATACTTTTTCCTCCCTGCACTGTGAATGTTTACATGTTATGTGCAATTAAACCATGGCAACAGCTAATGTTTGTGTAGTATTATGTTCAGCAGACTGTGTTCTTCTATTGTGACTTAGATGAGGTTCAGAGCACATTTTATGCCCAATTCATGCAAAACTCCACGTAATCCCAATGGGTTTACATACTTTTTCTTGCAACTGTACATTTTTGGTAAAAAAAAAATCCCAATAATCATATATCCGTTGGTTTGCGTGAAATCTAGAACTTCTACAAATGATTGAATATATATAGTGATGAAATGAATATATATAGTGATGAAATGAATATATATAGTGATTTTTATTTACTTATTTTTTTTTTTTTATATTTGTAGTGGTGGTGATCAGCGACTTATAGAGGGACTGTGATAGTGCAGCAGGCAATCTTGACACTAACTGCCACTGACATTTCCAGTGACACTAATACTGTGATCAGTGCTAATAATATACACTGACACTGTACCAATGATGCTGGCTAGGAAGGGGTTAAATTTGTGCCTAACAGTGCTTGGTGTGTACCTTGTGCTGCTTTTGAATGAATCCTCCTGCTGGGCTATAGTATTCTGTAATCCAGTGGTGGCTGTCAGAATACCTGACCAGTGACAGCATCTGGTTTGATGTAGCTACTGATCAGCCAACAATTTTCCACCTAGTTCCTTTGATTTTTCTATTAAAGGATGTCAAAATTCATAGTGGTTTTTCCTTTAGTAGTAGTCTTCCAGATTTTGGGAGTGGTACTATATTTATATTCTGCATTATTGCATGCCCTGTGTGTATCAAGTTTGTGTAGCAGAAAGCACTGCAAATTTTATCTTTTGTAATCTTGTGTCAAGTTACATAAGATTCTACTTTTTCTAGTTGCTTTATTATTTGTTTTTCTTAGCTTCTCCTAACAAAGTTTCCAGAGATTTAATGATGGCCAGACAGCTACAGGATGAAGAAGACAGAAAAAGAAGAGCAGACGAGTCTGAGAAAGAGAAGGTGGAATTTAAGAAATTACAGGTAGTAACTTTTTTTCTTTTTCAAAAATGATCTTTAGGCTAGGTTCACACTATTGCGGGCTGCATTTAGGCGGGCACTGCAGACTTTGGAGCATTTTAAAAATGGATCGGGCAGGAAGTCCTTTTTGAATATTGTGTATATACAGTGCTCTGAACACCTGTGCCAAAGATAAGATCTTGTCGACCTCACAGTTTACTGATGATATTGGATGGGAGTAAACGTATAAAAGTAATTATTACACATTTTAGTTGAGGATGACCAAACCTAAAATGTTTTTAAAGGTAGAAACGGAGCTGGGGCTGGAACCATGTGATGCCTGCAAATATTTAGTGTTCGTGTTGTTCTTAGCCTAGGTTCACACCTATGCATTTTCCGCTGAGTTTTGCAGAAACGCACAGCAGTCCATTTAATGTGATCTCCTATGGGACAGGTTCACATCTCCGTGTTTTCATTCGGTGTGTATTTTGGTACGGGTCAGGGGCTTTTTTTAAATGGAAAACATTGCGTTTTTTGGTTCTATAGACTTCAATGGAGACACTGCAGAAAAGCATGTAGTGCGTTTCAGATGTGTTGTTGATGCGTTTTCGTGTTTTTATTCTGCCCAGCAACAAGTTGAAAAGCCCTGTAAACCGTGTCAAAAACGCATGTGCAAAATGCACTGCAGAAATAAAACACAAACTGCATAGGTGTGAACCTAGCTTTAGTCTTGAAATGAATCCGTGTCCTTGTGAAGCCCACTTAGATCCCAAGCCTAGGATGTACAGGGGAGAAAGATTGGGCTTGACTACCCAAAATGGAATAAAGCCCTACACTGAACTGTATCCCTATTACAAATCTTCTGCAGATAAGAGATAAGACACCTTTTTTTTATTTTAACTGTCTACTTGGTTTTCATGAAGTTCAACTATAACATTGATAGCTTCTACTAACTAAAGATGTGCAGTAGTTTCCCTTTATAAGCTAGTGTACTTTGTGTATTTTAACTCCGAAAGAACAAATAGAATTGCAAAATCTGCACATACTTTCTTATAAAAACTACAACAAAGGAAAAAAAATCATATTTTTTTTGTAGAGGTTTACCCTTTCGAGTATTTTTGGGATCTGATGCATTGCCTTACCTTTATTCAGAGGCAGTTTGGGCTAGACAACTCTGGTGGCTATCGACAACAATCCGTGCAGAATCTAGAAAGGGCCGTTGCCAGGGGACGCTTACAGCCTATGGAATTTCACCTACAGAAAGCTCAGATAATGGAGTCTATAGCTACTGGTGTAGACGATGGAAAAACAAGAACATCAGGTTAGAGCTTTTACTTTCATCATCTTTTTGTTATTCTAAAGTAACCAAGTATTAAACTCCACTTAGCATAAAGTGAGAGGCTGCATTTTGGTGCATAGCAGCAGCGTTCTCTCATCAGCACTACATGCAGTGAAATCTGCAATGGAATTTTTGTGGATTTGTACATTTCTTCTTTATCATGGTCCTTGTTAAAAAAAATCCCCAAAAAAATCCATAATTTTACAGTGAACACCAGAATAAAGGGTGAGGGTAAATCTGTTTTAGTAACAGCTGTCTAAATGGGAAATTTCCTTTTACTTTGTGAAGATTTTATTTGGTTTCTATTGCTGTTGCTTAGTGAGGAAATGAAGGAAACAAACAGCAAAAAATAATCAAAATAATATAATTATATATAAATAAATAATAAAAATAATAATCGTTCCCTACTCTATCTAAAACTGAAAGAAAAAAAATGTTCTGGCTATAGGTTCTTGAAGAAATCTTTTGAATTTATTAACCTTGTCTTAACCTGTTTACATTTGCATCCTCTCTAAATGAACATTTGGGGTACAGTGTTGGCCAGCACTACAGAGGAAAAATATTCGGGAGTATTTATTTCAGGTTATTGCAAAATGAGCAAACAGTGTAGCCAGGCAGTGGGAATCGCAAATAGAATTCTAGGATGCATCACTAGAGTGGTCACCAGCAGGAGGTAGGACGTCCTGATTCTCCTATATCTTTGGTGAGACCTCATTTAGAATAGTGTGTCCAGTTCTGGAGACCTCACTTACAAAAAGGTGTTAAGATAGAATGAGTCCAGAGACAGGTAACAAAAATGGTGAAAGATCTGGGGGATAATACATATCATGAGAGACTTCAGGAACTTAATATGTACAGTTTTTAGGAAAGAAGGGAAAAGGGGAGACATGACTGCAACCTTTAAATATACAGTCAGGTCCATAAATATTGGGACATTGACACAATTCTAACATTTTTGGCTCTATACATCACCACAATGGATTTGAAATGAAACGAACAAGATGTGCTTTAACTGCAGACTGTCAGCTTTAACTTGAGGGTATTTACATCCAAATCAGGTGAACGGTGTAGGAATTACAACAGTTTGCATATGTGCCTCCCACTTGTTAAGGGACCAAAAGTAATGGGACAATTGGCTTCTCAGCTGTTCCATGGCCAGGTGTGTGTTATTCCCTCATTATCCCAATTACAATGAGCAGATAAAAGGTCCAGAGTTCATTTCAAGTGTGCTATTTGCATTTGGAATCTGTTTCTGTCAACTCTCAAGATGAGATCCAAAGAGCTGTCACTATCAGTGAAGCAAGCCATCATTAGGCTGAAAAAACAAAACAAACCCATCAGAGAGATAGCAAAAACATAAGATCAACTTGTACCAGAGTGATGGGAAGAGAAGAGTATGGAGAAGGAAAGGAACTGCTCATGATCCTAAGCATACCACCTCATCAGTGAAGCGTGGTGGTGGTAGTGTCATGGCGTGGGCATGTATTGCTGCCCATGGAACTGGTTCTCTTGTATTTATTGATGATGTGACTGCTGACAAAAGCAGCAGGATGAATTCTGAAGTGTTTCGGGCAATATTATCTGCTCCTATTCAGCCAAATGCCTCAGAACTCATTGGATGCCGCTTCACAGTGCAGATGGACAATGACCCAGAGCATACTGCAAAAGCAACCAAAGAGTTTTTTTAAAAGAAAGAAGTGGAATGTTATGCAATGGCCAAGTCAATCACCTGACCTGAATCCGATTGAGCATGCATTTCACTTGCTGAAGACAAAACTAAAGGGAAAATGCCCCAAGAACAAGCAGGAACTGAAGACAGTTGCAGTAGAGTCCTGGCAGAGCATCACCAGGTTTGAAACCTAGCGTCTGGTGATGTCTATGTGTTCCAGACTTCAGGCTGTAATTGACTGCAAAGGATTTGCAACCAAGTATTAAAAAGTGAAAGTTTGATTTATGATTATTATCCTGTCCCATTACTTTTGGTCCCTTAACAAGGGGGAGGCACATATGCAAACTGTTGTAATTCCTACACCGTTCACCTGATTTGGATGTAAATACCCTCAAATTAAAGCTGACAGTCTGCAGTTAAAGCACATCTTGTTAGTTTCATTTCGAATCCATTGTGGTGTATAGAGCCAAAAATGTTAGAATTGTGTCAATGTCCCAATATTTATGGACCTGACTGTATCAAGGTGGTGAATAAGGGTTCAAAAAGGCAGTATTTTCTATATGAAACCAAGATCAAGAACACGACCTCAAACCAACTGGAGGAAAGTTCAAAACTAATCTGAGAGTATTATTTTATTGAGTAGTTGATGCTTGGAATAGACGTCCAACAGAGGTAGTGAGTCCGTCAACAATAATTGGTTACAAACATAGATCTGTACTCAGACAAAAGAGTTAACAAAAAAAAATTAATACAAGACCTGTGTTTAAAAATAAAAAATGGGCAGACTCTATGGACAACTTGGTCTTTTTTTCTGCGTCACTTTTCTATGTTTCTATGTTAACAGGTCATTTTAAAGTGCTAATTACTGAATGTAAGAGATATATGCTTTGTAATATCTTTTTTGTATTGCTTTGTGGGGTACAATTAGGATTTCCAAAACAAAAATACCAGAATGTATCAATACAGACCCTTTCCTTAGGGTCAGATCATATGATTTCAAATATTGGTTACTTTTGTGATTAAACTTTTATTGCTTCTCCTTTTGTTTAAAAAGGGGTTCTGGAAGCTCTACGTCGATATTATAACGATGCTGCTCCTGAGGTCAATCGTGTCTGGCTGTGCTCTTCATTGGACCACTTTAGTAATGCTGCAGGAGACAAAGGATGGGGCTGTGGTTTCCGAAACTTTCAAATGCTTCTTTCTTCCTTATTGAAGAGTAACTCCTATATAAACTGTTTACAAGGTATAATACAAAGAATATACATCACATCCTTGCTATTTACTCCTACTCATTATTCAAGTCCGTCTTTTGGATTGCCTCACCAATAGTGACGAGTGTGAGGCTTTAAGTGCCATCTTCATAGCTGAAGTTGCATTTCTATAAAAGAATGCTATTCATTTTAGGGCTCCTAGTAGCTCTAGAAACTAAGTTTAGATGAGAGCAAACACCTCTTGTTTCCTGCATTAGTTACTCCATCCAAAAAATTGTAGTTATACATGGAATCTGGTGAGTCAGTCATAATGTCAATATTCTCACTGAACACGTTCCTGGTTTAGGCACAGAAGTAGCAGGTGCTACAGCATCAACCAGATAGACTGGAAGCATCACAGGTCAATGTACATATTTGTCAGAACACCACAGATAAACACGAACCATCTGAAAGTTTTATTGTAGCATGATCACATCACAATGGACAGAGTGCAACATTTTGGAGCTGCGCAGGACCTCTTCATCGGTTATGTGATGACATGCCTGACAAAGGGGTCCTGCATGGCTCCGAAATGTTGCACTTTGTCTATTGTGATGTGATCATGCTGCATAAAACTTTCAGGTGGTACTTGTTCCATGGTGTGCTGGCAAAGATGTACATTGACCTGGTAAGTCAGCCATTGACCTTCCTTCTTCTTTTTTTTTTTTTTTTTTTTTTTTGTCTCAGATTCTTCACCAGCAAAATCTAGCTGCCACCAACAACCAAGTTTGTGCCTCCCTAACTAAGAGTTTTGGGTTTTCCCACCCACAATTGCTTGTCCCAGCACCAGTTGTTGTGTTCTCTGTACATTTATAAATAATGTTAGTTCCAACAAGGAGATTGGGAAGAGGGAAGAAAACCTAGAACATCTGTCCATATTACATAGTTCTGCCCCATGAGGTGACCACACAGGAATTGAGGGGAAATAATGTTACACAAACCTGTCATTCCACAATAAAGCAGACCACTAAGCATCATCTCCATCTAAAATGACAACATAGCATGTAATTTAATGAAAACAAGCACCTTTCTTGTCAATTGATTTAAAGGTTCCTATGCTTCTGGCAATCATAGACATGTGGAAGAATTTAATAATAAGACCTGTAATTAGCCTCTGTCATTTTGTCTTTTGTAAAGGATTAGATGGTGTCACTAATGAGTGCCTTGAAAGTAAAATCAATCCTATTGGAATACATCCTGATAAGATTTATAAATTACAGGTTATTACCTTATTTAATAAAGTATTTTTCTTCTTTTTATCAAATGCTCTTTTATTCATTTCAGATTGCAGGTATATACCCTGTATCCCCAAGATTCAGGTTTTGATAGAGAATGCCTGGAAGGAAGGATTTGATCCACAGGGGGCCTCTCACTTCAGAGGAAAATTACAGGGTACAAAAGCATGGATTGGAGCATCTGAAATGTATTGCCTACTAACATCTCTGCATTTAAAGTACGTTTACTAGTGTATGGAAAAATTAAAGTGTGACTCCTGACAGAACTCCTTTTTTGGAATGATTTCTCTGCCCATATCTGGGCAAGTCTAAATTTTGTTTATATATACACAGGCGGTCCCCGGGTTACGAACAAGATAGGGTCTTGTAGCTTTGTTCTTAAGTAGAATTTGTATTTAAGTTGGAACAGGTACAGTTTTTTAAGTGTAGCTCCAGCCAATAAAATAATTTAATACATTTTTTTGGATCGCATAGGGAAGGGTTAATTCCCCTGTAATGTTTGTTCTACTGTCTGTGCCCCTGTTCAGAAGATTTCACCTCATTTTCTTTCCCTGTGACAATTGGATTTTGAATATTTTGGGTTGTTGTGGAAACAAAGTTTGGTGATAAACCTTCAGTGGAGATGCCTTTTCCTATGATCACTCTTACAGGAGTGAATTTCCCTTAAAACCGCTGGCAACAGAAGTGTGTACACCCCTAAGTGAAAATGTCCAAATTGGGCCTAATTAGCCATTTTCCCTCCCCGGTGTCATGTGATTTGTTAGTGTTACAAGGTCTCAGGTGTGAATGGGGAGCAGGTGTGTTAAATTTGGTGTTATTGCGCTCTCTCTCTCATACTGGTCACTGGAAGTTCAACATGGCACCTCATGGCAAAGAACTGAGGATCTGAAAAAAAGAATTGTTGCTCTAAATAAAGATGGCCTAGGCTATAAGAAGATTGCCAAGACCCTGAAACTGAGCTGCAGCACAGTGGCCAAGACCATACAGCGGTTTAACAGGACAGGTTCCACTCAGAACAGGCCTCGCCATGGTCGACCAAAGAAGTTGAGTGCATGTGCTCAGCGTCACATCCAGAGGTTGTCTTTGGGAAATAGACGTACGAGTGCTGCCAGCATTGCTGCAGAGGTTGAAGGGGTGGGGGGTCAGCCTGTCAGTACTCAGACCATATGCCGTACACTGCATCAAAATGGTCTTCATGGCGATCTTCCCAGAAGGAAGCTTCTTCTACAGATGATGAACAAGAAAGTCCGCAAACAGTTTGCTGAAGACAAGCAGACTAAGGACATGGATTACTGGAACCATGTCCTGTGGTCTAATGAGACCAAGATAAACGTATTTGGTTCAAATGGTGTCAAGCATGTCTGGTGGCAACCAGGTGAGGAGTTCAAAGACAAGTGTGTCTTGTCTACAGTCAAGCATGGTGGTGGGAGTGTCATGGTCTGGGGCTGCATGAGTGCTGCTGGCTCTGGAGAGCTACAGTTCATTGAGGGAGCCATGAATGCCAACATGTACTGTGACATACTGAAGCACAGCATGATCCCCTCCCTTCAGAGACTGGGCCGCAGGGCAGTATTCTAACATAACGACCTCAAACACACCTCCAAGACGACCACTGCCTTGCTAAAGAAGCTGAGGGGAAAGGTGATGGACTGGCCAAGCATGTCTCCAGACCTAAACCCTATTGAGCATCTGTGGGGCATCCTCAAATGGAAGGTGGAGGAGAGCAAGGTCTCTAACATCCACCAACTCCGTGATGTTGTCATGGAGGAGTGGAAGAAGACTCCAGTGGCAACCTGTGAAGCTTTGATGAACTCCATGCCCTAGAGGGTTAAGGCAGTGCTGAAAAATAATTGTGGCCACACAAAATATTGACACTTTGGACACACAATTTGGACATTTTCACTTAGGGGTGTACTCACTTTTGTTGCCAGAGGTTTAGACATTAATGGCTGTGTGTTGAGTTATTTTAAGGGGACAGCAAATTTACACTGTTATGCAAGCTGTACACTCACTACTTTACATTGTAGCAGAGTGTCATTTCTTCAGTGTTTGTCACATAAACAGATAAAATATATTTATAAAAATGTGAGGGGTGTACTCACTTCTGTGAGATTGAGATTATATATATAATTTTTTTTTTTTTTTTTTTTAATAAGGAGACCCCCCCACCACCATTTTGCAGCCCCCTGTGTATTTTTAATTTATTTTTTATGTCTGTAAAAATTCCTCACTAAAGTCTGAGTGGCTCCAGCAGCTCAGTTTGGAGTTGTCTGTAGGGCACCCTAGGTAACGTAAATGTCCCTTGCAGAGTTGGAATGTAACACTCAGGAAGTATTTGGAGTGCATTAAAGATACCTGCAATCTTCTTTTTTTTTTTTTTCCCAGTGAGTGAGCCCTAAAGGCTTGTGTTTTATTCACCTAAGAAACTCAGCATTTACAGAGGTGTTTTATATGCATTGTGTCACTCCATGAAGTGTTCAATGTGTTATACATTTCCACTCTAGAAATTATTTACATTTACCATTAAGTCTTCTATTTTGCATAGGTGTCGGATTCTTGATTTTCACAAGCCAAGCAGTTCAGCAGGAACACATCCTCTATTGTTTGAATGGGTTCTAAATTACTATTCATCTGACGCTTGTCAAACTACAGGCAAAGTTGCATGGTCCACTAAACCTGCCATTTATTTACAGCACCAAGGTATTGTGCAACTTTCTCACATTTATATCTCTGATTCCTTATTTACACAGTGGCAGGGCTGCTTGCCTTCTAATGAATATGTATTTAGAATTCTTTTATGTAAAGCCCTGCACTTGTATACTAGTGTTCCTTGAACTACATAACGAAACCTAACTTTGTTTCACAGAAACCAACAGCATGTATTAATTATATTCTGCGTTTAGTGGGGGGTGCAGAGTTTTTGATCTTCAGGTTGTACTGCCACTTACAAGAGAATTGGATGCTGGCAGCCCAGAATAACCCCTCTTACAACCTGCATGCCTTTTGTTACTATGGTCCCAAGAGAATGGCCTTCTTTCTTCAGCTTTGCTGTTGTAAAGACTAACCTATTATTTGTTAGTGCTTTTTACTTCTTTTATATTTTTTGTTTTCCTCTCTTTTGCACCAATGCTGGAGCTTGTCAGCATTGTCATCCTCAGCCTGGTTTTTAGAATACACCATCTGGACCCAGCTGGAGTGGATGTTGTGGGGATAACTTGGAAATCACCTTTGGGCACTGGGTTCCACGTGATAGACTTTAAAACCATGTTCTTTAGTTAGCTATGGAGCGATTTCCAGATCCAAGAGCTGCTAGGATTGCTCTTGCCATGTCTCTGAAGACTCACTTAGTGAGTAGGCTTATTGGACAGAAAAGCAGGAGCTACCTCGTTATTATTGGTCTCTGTCCTTATTCTGTGTTTCCCAGGTTTGTCCGCAGAAGGGATTACCTCTGTGGGATTGAGCATTGGCATCATCTGCTGGGTATAGTGTCACATGCTCTCTGCTCTCTTCCCTACCATACAGCGAGTATGCTTTTCCCCACTTCTGCTTGCAAAGAGCCATTTGGAACATTGATCTTTGATTCTTTCTTGCTGTTTGTCTACAGTGACTTTGACCTATAGCCATCCAACCCTCACTTGCTATCAGTTGTCCATAGTTTCTGAATCTTTGCCTCTTACTGTGAGCCGTTACATTGCTAACTGTGGCCCCAATATGTCTGAGACTAGACACAGAATGAGGGGGTGGCAACACTGCTGCTCCACCAGGTGCCCCCAGCTAACTTTCTACTAACTGCTTTAGGACTGCTTGCCAGCTGATGGTACTGACATCTACAGCCTAGAGCAGTGATGGAGAACCTTTTAGAGACCGAGTGCCCAAAGTGCAACCCAAAACTCACTTATTTATTGCAAAGTGCCAACATTGCAATTAAACCTGAATACTGAAGTTTTTAGTTTAGAAAAAAATACTCATACATTAACCTCCCTGGAGGTATTCCCGAGTGTAGCTCGGGGTAAAGTTTCAGCACCACAAGTGGTAACTCCGAGCTACACTCGGTAATACCTTGCAGCGTTGCTCAGGGATCCCTTCTACGCTTACCTTGTCCTTTGCTCCTGCAATGTCCCCCCTGCAGCGTCCCCGTCCATCTCCTCTGGGTTCCCTGCGACGTACGGGGGACGGAACGGCGGGAAATTTAAAAATGTCAAAAAGTGACATTCACTAAATACACTAAAATCACATAGTATTCCATTCCTGTATCAAAGCATTTCACATACATTTTGTCCCTAGTGCTTTGTCCTGTGCCCTGCCTGCATGTATACTGTTCTTTCTGCCTGGAAACTAAGAAACGTCCAAAAGCGTCCCTTTAGGTCAAAATCGGTTTTAGACCAGCTAGAGAACAGCGATAGTAAATTAGAACCACTTGCAGAATTGAGTGATAATGATTCGTGGGGAAATTCGTCATCAGACACTGAAAACGATTTTGCGACTTTGCTCAGTGATGTGCGAACTTGGCGCTCTATTTCAAATTTCAGGGGTTTTGTTTTGATTACATTATTGAATTACATTTATTATTATTTTTTATGATTATTTATTAAATTATAATTTATGATTTCGTGTTTCAAATTTTATCATCCCCGGGATGTTTACTAGGCCTCTTGTTCGGACAGATTTCAGTGAGTTATTCCTAAAAATTACAGGCCTACAATAAAAAAACAACATATTTCCATGCAAAAAAATGTACCGCTTTGAGCACAGAAATACTGACATAATCAAACTGCTAGGGAGGCTACCATCTTTTGTTTTAAAAGAAAAACACAATAACAGAGCTTTCAATGATACAAACTGCTTTTTATTGAAAGGTAAAAGTTTGCATTTGGGGTTCTTTTGCACAATTATTGTACACCTAATCACCAATATGGAGTGCATTGCGGTGGATGGTATGTACAGGAGAGAAGTAAGGAGTGTATGGTAGTGGGTAGTATGTGCAAGAGAGGGATATGGAGTGTATGGTGATGGGTAGTATGTACAGGAGAAGGGTACGGAGTGTATGGCGATGGGTAGTATGTGCAAGAAAGAGGTATGAAAAGTTTGGCGGTGGATGATATGTACAGGACAGTGTAAGGTGGTGGACAGTATGTACAGGAGAGGGGTACATAGTGTATGGCTGTGGGTAGTATGTGCAGGAGAGGGGTACGGAGTGTATGATGGTGGGCAGTATGTACAGGAGAGGAGTGTGTAATGTATGGTGGTGGGTGATATGTACAGGAGAGGGGTACATAGTGTATGGCAGTGGGTAGTATGTGCAGGAGAGGAGTGTGGAGTGTATGGGGGTGGGTGGTATGTACAGAAAAGGGGTACGGAGTGTACATGAGCAGTTGGTGGTAGTACCAGCTGTAAGAAATTAGGAAAGCAACATATATTATTACTATTACATGAAGTGCTGCAATGGAAGGTGATGATGGAAATGGGGGTGCAGAGACAAGAAGCAGAAGGGGGAAAATAGAGTGGGATGAGCAGTTGAGTGGTGAGCTTGAACACTGGCAGTGGAGGAAAAAAAGAGTTGTGGCAGGATGAAAGAGCAATGAGGTAGGACAAAACAGATACAGAGGTACAGAGGCACTGTATTTCACAGAGGCAGGGGAGGATGGTGGCAGCGCTGCATAGTGACAGAAGGCAGGAGTGGAGGGTCAGCTGTCAGACTCCTCCCGCTGGGCTGCATACAGGGACTTCTATCATCTGATAACCATACACCATACCGAGTGATGGCAGCAGTGCCCCCCAAGGACGGAGCTGGCCCGATGTGCTCATCCATGGGTGCACTGTTGGTCAGAGCACAGCCCCTCCCCTGGGCCCCCCTGCTAGGTGACAGGGCCCGTGCTCCTTACAGGAGGCCCGGTGGTAACCCCTTATCAGCGGCCCTGCCGGGTGAGGAGGACTTACCAGACTGTCACCGATCACCGGACCCTCTTCCCCTGATCAGATGGATATGGTCCCTCTGGTCCAAGCTCTGTGCTCTCCACTCTCTCCGCTGTAACTGATCGCCCCTCCCTGCAGTCATACACGGTCCTATAGGAGTCCTTCTCCTTTCCAAGCATGCTCAATGATGCCATTATCAGATGCTTGGCTGCTGGGGTGACTTGGCTCTGGCGTGCCAACAGTGAGGGCCCTGCATGGCAGCTACGGCACGTGTGCCATAGGTTTGCCATCACTGGCCTAGAGTAATGCTGTCCTCCTGATGTTAGTGTATCCCATCCTTTGAGTCTTCCTTTTTTTTTTCTCCTCAGGCAGGTGTGGCTGGATCTTGTACCCTGTCAGCTGCGGAGTTTACCTCAGTCATGCAGCGTCTAAAGACCCAATGGCTTATTTATTTTCAGGCTGTCATTGCAGAGGCCACAGGTATGCTTCTGCACCATCTCAAGCAGATTTTGTTTTTGAGTTAACCACAGCCTTAATGACTTTGTAGCCATCGGCTGAGTCAACTGTCTGACTGAGTCCTTTACTGATGTGTTTGCTTTCAAGGAGTCACAATCTCCTGCTATTACTCTCAAATTAAAGTTTTGGCTCTGAAACTGGAGGTTTAGCCTGTTACTTCTACAGGTACCATTTCCAATTTTGGGTCATTTTAAATCTCATGATTCTGCCAGGACTTTCCCTTTTTGTCCCTGTTTTTCCAACTGCTTCTCTGTGGAGATTGGAAGTACCCCAATAAGTTGGTTGCTCCCCCCAAGCATTTGCTAGCATTGTATCTATTTTGGGAGAATTTTGTTCATAAGTGGTCTATTTCAACTGTGGATTCAGACCTGTCTCGCATTACATCCTTGTGCCATTCTTGTTGTGGGATACATAGAGCCCTCCCTCAACAGGAGGTTGGCTATCAGAGAACACATCTCTATTCAGATGTTACAATAGTTCAGGTGGATCCTGAACCTTCATAAATCATTTCTTTCACAGAAGAAATCTGAATTTCTCAGGTTCAAACTCTTCAGTCCTGAAACTGTCAAACTCTCTGTTTCTGAATAAAAGTCTTGAGGCTTATGGTAGCCTCCTTCAAGGCATTTCCGAGTTTCACTGTAGACATCTAGGCTATCTCTGGCTTGGTAGTTACGGAATCTGGCTCTGAAGTAGTAGGAAGTTTTTCTTCCCATGCTTTGGAAGATTCCTGTCACTGATGCAAGTCTATCAGGCTGGGAAGAAGTCCTGGACACCTAGTCGGTGCAGGGCATTTGATTGTCTAAAGATAAATATCCTGGAACTCCTGGCAATTTGGCTTTCATTCAGAGCTATTCTAACCTGTTTATAGAGTCATCCAGTCCTGATACATTCAGACAATGTGACAGTGGTGGTCAAATTGCCTTGTCAGCTGGTCATGTACATTCCAGGCATACACCGTTGGCAGGCAGATTCCCTCAGCTGTCTATGCCTGGACACATAAGTGGTCCCCACAACCAGAGGGATGCCTGGACCTATGTCACAGGTGGAGAATTTGGACCTCCTGGTCTCCAGATTCAACAACAAACTAAGCAAGTTTGTGTTTAGGTACAGGAATCCCCTGGTGGATTCTTTAATGACTTTGCGGGAGCAGTGCACCCATCATCTATAAATTCTACCTTTTAAAATTTCCTCCTCGTCTGCTCTGCAGGTTCAATATGGAGGGCATTCCAGTGATAATCTTTGCTCTGGACTGTCCCAGTAGAGTGTGGTATGCTGACCTGGTAAGACCTCTGTCAGTAGACACTGCCAAATTGTCAGGATCTTCTGTTTCAAGGGCTGATTTGTCATCCTGCTTGTCAGTTGCTGGTTTTAATGGCATGGCTTTTGAAGCCCAGGCTCTAAGGGACTGGGACATCCCTGAGTCTGTGATTCCTATGGCGCTAAAAGTAAAAAGGCTGATAAAGTACAAAGGTATATTCTATTATTCTCCCCCTCTTTTTTGTTTTTGTTTTTTTTTTATAGGTAAATCAGTGGCCCTCATTGTTTGTTTGTTTCTTTATTTGCTGCTGCCCTTGCAGCTCCCAAATCCTTCAAATTTTCCTGAGCCAGCAAAAGCTTTGTTTAGAATACCTTGGCTTCCTCCTGACTCCCATTATTTTTTTATTTATATTCTTTCAGTCAAATTCCAGCCATTTGTAGCCTCAAAACCTTAATTTCTTTCTGGTCCATGTTGAACTTCCAGTGACCAGTATGAGAGAGATAACACCAAATGTAACACACCTGCTACCCATTCATACCTGAGACCTTGTAACACTAACGAGTCACATGACACCGGGGAGGGAAAATGGCTAATTGGGCCCAATTTGGACATTTTCACTTAGGGGTGTACTCACTTTTGTTGCCAGCGGTTTAGACATTAATGGTTGTATGTTGAGTTATTTTGTGAGGATAACAAATTTACACTGTTATACAAGCTGTACACTCACTACTTTACATTGTAGCAAAGAGTAATTTCTTCAGTGTTGTCACATGAAAAGATAGAATAAAATATTTACAAAAATGTGAGGGTATACTCACTTCTGTGAGATACTGTAGATACCTTTTTCGTTACCTACAGCAACTCCATTCATTCATGTTCCAGTTTGATTCTACACTCCTACAAACTCAACCTTCTGATCTAGAGATGTTGCTGGGTTCGGACCTGCTTAAAAAAAACATTTGTCTGAGGTCTACAAAGAACTTGTTATGGTCATGCCTAAACCCCTAGAAAAGTGCAGGAAATGCTGGATATCAGTGGTACATAATTTTCAGAGGGATGACTGGGATGATATGTGGGATTACCCCTTTCGCTGCCTGGTGTCGGCCAGGGACCACCTCATTTAATACAAAATTGTACATAGAATTTATTACATGCCTGTCAGACTGGCTAAAATCTACAGCTCTGACTTGTCGGCATGTTGGTATTGTAGGTATTCCCCAGCAGACTTTTAACATATAGCTGCCTACATATACAGGAATTCTGGCAAGGAGTAGTCCGAAGACTTCACCACTCTTCAGATACCAATGAGCGTTTCTGTTTGTCTACTAGGGTTTGTAGAGGAGTTGCAGGTCTTAGAGCACAGAGAACCCTTGTTACTATAACCCTGTTTTATGCCCCCAAGGCATCATTATTGCATTGGAAAAAGACAGAAGCCCCCTCTCTTACTTTTTGGAAAGCTAATTAATAAGGCTTTACCTCTGTATAAAGCAACTTCTTTAAATAGAGGCTGCCCTAGGAAATTTGAAAAGGTACTGCATAGTTGGGTTTCCAATACCTCTGCCCTTGCATGAGGCAGTCCTGACCTGATCCTTGGGTTCTGTTGAAAACGTTCTCAGATGTGGCCTTGCTGACTACTCCCATTGTTGTTAGTCATCTTAGGGTATACCATTGCTTCCTCCTTTTGAGGTTATAACTTTGACCTGGTTTATTCTTCTGTATGGTTGAGATATCATACTGTGTATGTTCTACTTCAACATCTTGGTGTGATTTCCTTTTTTCCTTTTTGGTGTATAATTGAGTGGGAGGTATTGCACTTGGGGGGTTTAGAGGAATTTTTCTGGTTGGTCCTTTTGACATGGCCAGGGCCTAACTGTGATGTGTCTGGTTTTATTATGCCTTGTATGTTTTTTATATGTGCACAATTAATAATTAGAAGTTTCCCAAAAAAACATGCTTTTATATGAATTCTCCACTGCTTACTAAATATGCATTTGATCAATACAGGTCACAGCCGCACAATAGTGGGAATTGAGGAAAGGAAAAACAAAACTTACTGCCTTCTAATATTTGATCCTGGACATCCACTGGAAATTTTGCGGAGACTGACCAAGCATAATATAGATAATGCTGCTATGAAACCCCTCCGTAAATATCTAACAGGCTTCAAACATAAGCAGTACCAGATTGTGGCTGTAGAGGGAGCCCTCTCTCCTGAAGAAAAGGCAGTAAGTTTTTTAGTGTACCTATATTATATGTAATGTTTTACTTAGAGGGTAACTCCACTTTCGTGGGTTAAAAATTACCAAATGAAATAAAATGAATGTGATTTGTCATAATTGTAAAAGCTATATTGTAAGAGTTCACATTTGCACAGATTGTCACTTTATTTTTAAATAATTTATTGGTCATTATTTATGATTATTTTTTGCTAGTATTACACTGGATGAGTGATTATTTAACTTTCAAGTTACTTAGCGCTGCACTTTTCTTCTTATATATTGTAATTGAATGTTTTTTGTTTTTTTTTTTTTCCAAAAAAGTTTTATTGAAGTATGAAAGGCAAAACAAGTCATAGACCGATACAGATCACAGTCCGTGCATATCCTCTTACATGTTCTCCCCGTAACGCAGACAGGATCAGGACATTAGATTAAATTGTATATCATCATGAAACGAAGTCCAACAGTAAGGCAGAGGTAAAAGATATAACCATAGCAGTACTGATAACAATATGCAATTTAGATAAATACGGTATACATTAGTCTCTAAGTAGGGAGAGCTCAAATAACAGGACTATGAAGTGCAAGCAAAAATATCATCTCAAGGCATATATGTCCTGTGTTTCCATATCCGAAAAGTGTGGGTTAGTTTTTTGGATTATTGTTGGGGGGGAGGGGAGAATGAGGTTTAGAATTAAATAGGCATAACCAAACCAATCACATCAATTAGCATCGGCCAGGCTGTAACAGATTCTATCTTTAATTAGGGATATAATTCAGTGAAAGTCCATTAATGGAGTTATTCCTTAGGTGAAAGTGCTAGAGGCTTTCCGTGTCTCCAAATCTTTCTCGCTCATTCCTTCATTAAGCCATGATAAGTATCAGTAGATTGGAAATGAGTCCAAGAAGCCCAAGTCTTCCTGAATCGCTCGGGGTGTTCTTTTGCCACTGAGATCAGCTCCTCCATTTCCGCGATCCTATTGATCTTGAATGTTATTAAAAATTACCTTTCCCTTTCAATCTGCAGCACTGTAATTTTCTATAAAATGCAATGCTATATGGCTACCCAGAGGCCTTCTGTACAGAATGTCCCCCCAGATATGTCATTTCCTGCTTGTGTGATTTGGCTTATTGATTTTTCCCAGAAGTCTGCACTAAGATGCAAGTTTTTGAGCTTCCCCTGAACAAACATGTCATATTTGGTGAGATACTTCCAAAGAGAAATCATGTCTAAAGGGATGCAGACACCACAATTTTCCTCATTAGAGCCCTGCAGGGGCAGCAGCTGCCTGTTAATTTAAAACCACTCCCATACAGATTTACTTTGCACATGGACCCAGACAAACAAACAGCTATTTCTTCAGAATAACAAAAGGTAGGACTCTACAACAAAGTTTGTTAATCCTTGCAATATACATCATCCAGAGGGGAATGTTTTTGTTTTTTTTTTCTCAACACAAGTGGAGTTACTCTTTAAATTTGAAACTGTGCATTTGTTTCTTTTGAGAAGAATATTCAACTCCGTAGATTATTTTATATTTGGGAGATCAACTAGCATGCAGGTAAAGTAGAATTTTAGGAAAACTTTTTCTCCATTTTGGATAGAGTAAAGGAAGGTCATAACACTTTATTTTTTGCCACCAATGTCCCATTGAGAAGATTTACCTTCACTTCCTGTCCCATAGCCAAAACAGGAAGTGAGATAAAAGCCCAGCAAGAGAATTCCATGGGGACCCCTCGGTCACCAACCAGAAGTAGTGTCCTCATCCCCATTAATTTTCTGGGGACAACCCAAGAGAGAGGGTGAAACACCCCTCCCCCCCCCCCCAAAGGGGGTACAGACAGCAATAAAAACCCAGTAGGTGTTCTGATTCATCTCCACTCTTTACGAAAGTAAATTAAAAAAAAAAATAAAGTTTTGCCTTTAGTTATACTTAGTTAATAGTAGAGATGCATGTTAGATAAAAATGATCTGATTGGTCCAAAATGTTGCATTAATTCTGATTTTATTTTTTCAGTCAGCATGCTTTTAATCAGGGTTATAGTGTTTAGAAAAGCAGGAAGCCGCAAACCAATGACATAATTTGTCTACCATCTTTATTAAAGCTGGGCATGGCCCACTGCAGTCCCACCTAGGACCTCTCCTATTAAACATGTTTTTCCTATTATGGGCTTGATCAAAGATAGAGGGAGCAGGATGGGAATGCTCTTTTATGCAGTGTAAAATCTATACAAATTAAGTCTTAAAGAGATGCATCTTGTGTATCCAACAAATTACAAAACTATAACATACTCAAACTATCATAAAATGAGTTGTTAAAAACATATCTCAAGACAAAATCCATAGCAAAATGAAAACATTCTATCATTTTGCAAACAATCTCTAAAACTATAATGTATATTTATTATTGAAAATCTTTTGCATAGATGCAAAAAGTTTAAAAACAAAAAAAGTGAATATATATCCCAGGACATGAATAAGTGCAAACCATGTAACTGAATATATTTATCCAATATTGTTGGTCTATGGAAGACCAGGAGTTGAAAGGTAAAACACTTCTGAAAGGGAAAGGAGGGGAATGGCACTGTGTAAAATAACTTTAAGACAAATCCATAGAAGTCCATTAAATTATCAGCATAGAATAACTGAAGCAGTGTGCAACTGTTGGAAATCTAGTCCATATATTGCAGTTGCTGCAGCTTTAGATTACACTTGGCAGCAAATACATAGCATGATGTACTGTGCTCTCGTGTACTGTCTCCCATTATAATGTTAAGTGCTGAGTAAACTGTTGGCGTTATATAAATCCTGTATAATAATAATAATGATGTAAGATTTCAAGCCATGTACAAAGTCATAAAAACAAAACTCCCTATAGTGGTCACTCTGGGTTATTACGGTCTCCGTAATATTGGACAGCAAATGCATGCGCTCGCAACTCCCAAAGGTAATAACTAAGGCAAGCTAACTTCTGTAAAGTCCTTATTAGTTAGTGTAACATGAAATAAAAATATTTCACCATAAAAAAGTCTATAGCAAATGAAAATGATACTCAAACAGATCCTGACAGTATAGAGATCATACGAAAATCGAATTCACAAATTATAAAGTATAAAGCTGAGCAGGTACTGTGGCAGACTTGCAGTAGAAATGCAGAAAAGTGTCACTGCTCCAAGCTCACATGAATATTCTTTGCGTCGGGAAATTTGGGTGTTGGACAAGGCCGAGAGGAATGAGGGAAAGAACGGGAAAATGGGGAGAGAAGGAGAAAGGGGGGGAGGGGGGAAAGAAGGGTGGATAGGGGGTACAAAAATAAATGATGGGGAAAAAAATGTGTGTGTGTGTTCAGAGCTGAAGACGAGATGATTAAGTGGATAAAGTAATAGAGAACCAGAATATATCTTCAATTCATTCAAAATAATGGGTCCCATTCAATATTCATTCTTTTAGGAATCCTGGCCTTTGGGTTGTAGGTTGACTGACTGGTTTTTCCTTACTGAGTCAAAGTATAATCACCTGGTAAGGTTATTGATCCTTTCAATAATTTGTGCCTTGGGAGACTCAATATTGGGACCATGACAATCCACAAGATGGTATGCTAGATACGCATGCCATTAATTGTAATGTAGCATGCCGTTTATTAATCTGACTGCATCTATAATCCAGGTTCTTTTCTTTATCACCATCCACTCTGTCAGATAAGCATAGCATCTGACCAAGGTAGAGGTAGTTTGTGTTCCCAAAATTCACTTTTTATATGCCATGTGCCACCTGGAGAAAAGTTTGGTATGGAGGCATATCAGTGTGGATAAAATAATTGCAGGAGATGTTCTGTCCCTCTTTAATCACAAATAGAACAAAAGATAAATGCATTTTAGTGCACAAATTCTGTTTCATCCTATAGTCTTCATTGTACACATGAAGTTTGCTTACTTCTCTATTTTAAGGTACGTTTGCAAATGACAAAAATCTTCAGAGCTGAAAGGATTCCATGAAGAAAACTGGAAGCACTTCAATAAAATGATTGAGTATACATGTATTTTTTTTTTTTTGTATTACTGTATGTGCATTGTATGATTGTTAAGCTCTCTTTTATATGTATGTTTTATGTACTAGTATTTTAATACAGTAAAATGTGCAATAAATTTTTTAAGAGGTTTTATCGGTTATCCTGTCCTCAGATTTGCTTAAAATTAGCAATGTTTTTTGTTTATCCCACAACTATTTCTGCATATTTTTCAAAGTAAGATTCTAAGATGCTTGGGTGTTGGAGATTTTTGTGAAACATTTTTGTTCTTTGGAGTTGCCTTTTACATAGAGCTGTTACAAACAACTGTTAAAGCCAAATTCCAGTGTTTAAATGCTCATTCATTGTAGGGGCACAGGATTGGAGTGTAAATACTTATGCTCCTCCAGCATGCCCCCTCCAGCATTAAAACGTGTCCCCCACAGCTGCTCTGTAAGCTGCCACTGGCTACAGTCACATTCCAGCATCCTAAACGTACAATACAGAGTTGGGGCTCATTTACACTTGCTTTTAAAATGTGGACAAACATTTTTTTTTTAAAGCACTCTGAAGTCCTCTCAAAGCACCTATCACTAAATTAAAAGGTAGGCCTACAGTCCTGTTTACACATTGTGCTTGCTTTGCTTCAAACATTATACCCTATGTTGCTTTTTTGGTGCTTCAAAGCTTCTCCAAGACCTCTACAGACCTCCATCTCACTAACAGCACCTGCGGTTTTTAAGGGGTTTTTTATTCAAAATTTAGCTTTGCTTTGTTTTGGAATTATTGCAGATATGAGATCACGCAAGCTTCACAGCATGAGAGCAATATAGTGGGCGGTGAGTGGGGACCAGAGAGAGAGGAGGATAAGCAAACCAGAGGATCAGCAAAGCTGGGGGTACTAGTGAGTGGGGTATCAACAGAGCTTGGGGGGTACTACTAAGCAGGGGATCTTCTGAATGAGGGCACTAATAATCTGGGGATCTGCTAAACGAGTGTGTACCAATCAGCTGGGGATCTGTTGAACAGGGTCACTAATTTGCTTGGGATCTGCTGAATGTGGGTACTACTGGGCCCCTTTGAAACAAATAGAAAATAAACACACACAGGGCATTTGACAAGCTTCAAGAATGCATCACAGAAGCATCATACAAAAAGGCATGTTGAACGGGTAGGCACTTTAACCACTTGCCTACCAGGCACTTATACCCCCTTATTTACCAGGCCAATTTTCAGCTTTCAGCGCTGCCGCAGTTTGACAATTGCGCGGATCATGCAACATTGTACCCATATGAAATTTTGATCATTTTTTTTTCTCACAAATAGAGCTTTCTTTTGGTGGTATTTAATCGCCGCTGGGCACTTTACTTTTTGCACTATAAATAAAAATGCTAAAAATTTGAAAAAAAAAAAAGTTTCTTTGTTTCTATTATAAAATTTTTCAAACAGGTATTTTTTCTCCTTCACTGATGTACGTTGATGAGGCGGCACTGATGGGCACTGATAGGCGGCACTGATAGGCAGCACTAAAGGGCACTGATAGGCAGTACTAATGAGGTGGCACGGATAGGCAGCACTGATAGACAGCACTAATGAGGTGTCACGGATAGGCGGCACTAATATGCAGCACTGATAAGCGGCACTGATAGGTGACACTGATGATGGGTACTGATAGACGGCACTGACTGGCATCACTGCTGGGCACTGACTGGCGGCACTGACTGGCACAACCCCTGGGCACTGACTGGTGGCACTGACTGGCAGCACTGCTGGGCACTGACTGGCGGCACTGACTGGCACAACCCCTGGGCACTGACTGGCAGCACTGCTGGGCTGCACTGGTGGGTGGGCACAGGTGGGTGGCACTGGTGGGCACAGGTGGGTGGCACTGGTGGGCACAGGTGGGTGGCACTGGGGGCACAGGTGGGTGGCACTTCTGGGCACAGGTGTGTGACACTGCAGAGTGGCACAGGTGGGTGCACTGCTGGGCACAAAGGTGGGTGATCTGCTGGGCACAGGTGGGCGGAGCTAGTGGGCGCACTGCTGGGCACAGGTGGGCGGAACTTGCGGGTGGCACTGCTGGGCACCGATCATCAGGGCACTGATCATCAGTGCCCTGATGATCAGTGCCGATCCCCGCTTTGACAACTGCCGGTTCTCTGCAGTACTTTCCTCACGATCTGACAGCGTGAGGAAAGTGCAGCCGAGAACCGGCACTTGCATTTCCCTCTGATCAGTGTGTCATTGGCTGTGATCGGCCTTTTACCACATCACGTGATCAGCTGTGTCCGTAGGACACAGCGATCACGGAGATCGCCGGGTGCGCGCCCCCTAGGGCGCGCAGGAGAGCGCGTTCTGGGGGGACGTCATATGACGTCCACTCAGAACTGGCCGGTCGCAGTTTAGCCGTCATTCGGCTATCTGCGGTCGGCAACTAGTTAATGTGCGTTAGTCAAAACAAGTTTAAATGAGCCCTTAATGTCCCTGTATTATATGTGATTACACCAAGGCTCTGCCCACAGATTGAGGCTTCAACCAGAGGAGGAGAGCACTGGAGCTGGCCAGGGCAAGGAATCAGGTAAGTGAAACAGCCTCTTCTGAAATCCCCTAGACATAACACACAGTTAGCCCTTGCAGTTTGGGAACCCCCTACATATATAGGAGGCAATTAACCCTTGCAGTGTGTGTGGGGGGGGGAATTGGGTTCACCGCAGTGGTGATTATTATTTTTTTTCTGTGGGCTTTAAGAGTTAGTCTCGAAGGAAGGCAGCTCAATGGCTAACGCTTTTACCTTGGTTTTGATCACCAATGGAGACACTATTTCCATGGACATAAACTCACTAGCATGTTTCTGCTTTATGGATATTGTAATCTCAACTGTTGCCAGTGCTTAAAAACATTTTTTGCATACATTAACAACCTAAAAAAACTAGCTGTTAAAGGGAAGCTCCACTTCTGTGTGGGAAAAAAATAGCAAATAAAAAAAATATAGCATATACAATTGTTACATAAGTCACGTAGTATCTGAATGTAATTAAAAATTACCTTTACTTTTCAATCTGCAGCACTGTAGTTTTCATATTCTGCAATGCAATATGGTAACCTGGAGGCGTTCTGTACACAGCACCCCCGAAAATGTTAATTTCCTACTTGTGTGATTTGGCTTACACAGTTTCCCAGATATCTGCATCAATGTACAATTTAGATTTTGGGCATCCACTGCAACAAAAATTTAATTTTTGGTGGGATACTGCCAAAGGGAAATCATGTCTTAAGGTATTCAGACCCTGCCACTTTCCTCAGAACCTTGTAAGTGCAGCAGCGAAACAAACAGCTATTTTCTTCAGAATAACAAATGGTAAAAATCTGTAAAGTTTGTTAAAATTCCTGCAATGTACACAGATCATCCAGAGGGGAATGTTTTTTGTTTGTTTGTTTTTTTTTTTTTTGGGGGGGGGTTCTCAAAAAAAGTGGAGTTATTTTTTAAAGTATAACTAAGGGCAAAACTTTTTTTTTTTTCTAGTTTTGGATAGAGTGGAGTGGGATTAGAACACCTGTCGGTTTTTACTGCTGCATGTGCCCCTGTTAAGGAGATTCACCCTCTATTTGTCCTGTTTACTATTATCATTGAAAGTAAAAGAAATCTCAAATTTTGAGTTGTCCCCATAAAAGAAATGGAGGGGAAATCTTCCAATGGGGACACTAGTTCTGGTGACCTGGGGGTCCCCGAGAAGTTCCTTTAGTTTGCAGAGTTTTCCTGTTTGGCTATGGGATAGGAAGTGAAGTGAAGGGAAATCTCTGTAATGGGACATGAATGGCGAACAGAATTCTGACAGGGGTTATAACTCTCCCTTGCTCTGTTCAAAATGGGGAAAAAAAAAGATTTGCCTAGAGTTCTACTTTAAGGACAAGATGTTATACATTGGAAAGACAGAAAAAAACAAATATTGCCATAAAATAACTTCAAGAGGCACAGACAGTATATATAAAATACAACTGTGACCAGGTTTCATTAGTTCCTATTTTCTGGCTAGTAGTTTTTTTTGTTTTTTTAAATATATACATCTAGAATATTTGTCCTAATAGGGACAAGTCTTGGAAAGTCCCTGTATCTAAATAGGATTTAAATTTTGAATTAGATGCTTTAGGAGCATTTAGGGCATTTTATAAATCTCAAAGATCCCAGTAACAAAAGCAGAATGAAAGGAAGACTACGTCAGTTTATAAGTGACGTGTAAGTAACCTGAATTCACTGTTCCGTCATACTGATATCTTATTATTCTAATACCCTGTTAAACAATACACTAGTTTGAAAGAGAAAAAATAGGGAAATAGGTAATTTTTTGTCAAAAAGAGCTCATTTTAATTCAATTGCTCAGTTATACATTTTCTCTTTCACCTGTTTCTAAAGTATGTGACCAAGGATATGAGATTACAGAGGCAGTTTTGACTTTTATTAAATGTTTTACCTGAGTCACAAAGTATCTTAAGTGGGCAATGAGCTACAGCTGTCCGTAAAGTTTAAAAGGACCAAAGACTTTCTTTGAACTGGAAAGAATCCTACCTCAAGCAGTCTTAAAAATAGAGTAATGGAATTCAGAATGTTCACACAATAAGTTGTGCAAAGATTCACTCTGGAAAATAAATTCTTGTCATCTGCACATGAGTAATTGGATTAAACTTTATTAAATCAGTCAAATGACTTTCAGAACTGAAAACTCATGAGAAACGTTTGTTCTTTCGGGTTAACTGTCAAAAGTCGGAAGCTTTGGGTGTATCCATGTTGGCTTCTCAGTCCACCTTGCTTAAATGGGCCACATGACACATAAAATACTTAGGTATTTATCTCTCCAGGAGACTGGAAGACATTTTACAGTTGAACTTCCTGCCACTTTTAACAGTCATAAGAAAAGACCTTTTGACCTGGCAGAACGGACGGTGTTTTCCTGGTTCGGATATTGCAGTATAGTCAAAATGAATATGTTTCCC